TTAAAGAGAAAGTATACTGATAAACATACTGCTGGAACCTGGCACTATGTTGATTCTAGAAGTAGGCAAGGACTTAACTAAAAACGGAAAGTAGGGATTAATTTCTTCAATTAAATATAGGTGCAAAAATCTTTAGTAAGATATTGGAAAACAGAAAGCAACAAATTATTAAAAAGATGACACATCAGATCAACATATGCAATTCAATAAAAGTAATACACTAGGTAACCTAAAGCAAGGATAAATATTTCATAATCATCTCGATATATGTGGAAGTACTTTTTGACAAAATCCAACATATATTCATGATTTTAAAAGAAGAATAGAAGGATTTAATTCCAACCTAATAAAAACCATATAGCATGAACAAACTGCCAGCCTCACATTAAATGAGGAAAAGTTGAGAGCTTTCCCTTTAAAATAAGGAACAAGACAAGGAATGTCTATTGTCACAAGTCACAGTACTCAAAACATTAACCAGAGCAATCCAACAACAGAAAAAAAAATAAAATAAATAAGCATAGGTAATCAAAAAACTCTGTCATGTTTGTAAGTGACATGATCCTTTATGTAGAAAATCAATAAAAGTCTACCAAAAGACTCCTATAATTCATACCAAATTCAGTAATGTTCCAGGGTAGAAAGTCAGCATATAAAAATCAAGACCTTTCTGTGAAACAATAATGAACTCACTGAGAAAAAAATTAAGGAAACAATATCATTTTTGTAGCATCAAGAAAAATTAAATACATAGGAATTAACCTAATCAAAGAAGTGAAAATTTTGCATAACACAAACTGCAGTATTTTGAAAAAAAAGATCAAAGACAATCTGAGAAAACAGAAACATGTCTCTAGTTCCTGGATAAGTAGAACAAATATCAAAACAAACCCATTTCCAAGCTTTACATATTCATTTAACACAATCCCAGTTAAAATACAAACAGAATTCCTCTCAGGACTAAAGGGAAAAAATTCCAAAATTTTTATTGAAATAGAAGAGACCCAGAATAGCAAAAATGTATTTGAATAAAAGCAGAAAGCATTACAAACCTGAATTTCACATTGTATTAAAAAGTTACAGCAATAAAAAATGCCATTGTACTAGCAAGTAAAGAAAATATACAAAAGCAGAAATAAAAACAACAGCAACAACTACAGGTCTGTAGATTGATGGAACAGAATAGAAGATGCAGAAACAACCCTCAGATACATTCATTCACCTGATCTTTGGCAAAATGGACAAAACACATGGTGAGAAAGGAGCCACTTTAGTAAAAGGAGCCACTGGGAAAATGGGTACATATGTAAAAGACTGAATCTAGGAGCATATCTCTTACTATGTACTAAGCTGGATCAAAATAAATAAAATAGATGGATGCTAAAACAGAAACATTTAACCCGTTAAACATAAAATAGATAAAGTTCTTGAAGGCAAGGACTACTGGAACAAATCCACAGTACACAGACATTAGGAATCAGCAATGGGATCGTATCAAATTCAAACGCTCAGTGCACAAAGGAAACAGCCAACAAAGTGAAGAGACTATGTACAGAATATAACAAAATGTTTTTCTCTCCGCTGTACTTTAAAGAGAAGACTAAATTTTAGAATATATGAAGAAGTCCAAAAAATTGGACCATTAATGAAAGACCCAATAAATAAAGGCCAACTAAAATGAAAAGACACTTCTCAGAAGTACAAGCGGCCATTAAATATAAGAAACAAAATGTTCACCATCTCTGACAATTAGAAATGCCTCTTACAACAACCCTGAGATTCCATTTTAATCCAGAAAGAATAGCTGCCATCAAAAAATCAATTAATAATAAACCCTGGAGATGCTGCAGGGAAGAAGAAATGCTTCCATACCATGGGTGAGAATATTTACTAGTAAAGTCATTATAAAAATCACTCAATTAAAGTTAGAAAATCCACTTGAATCAGCTCTTCCCCTCCTGGGTACCTCCGTGAAAGAATTAAAGGCATCATATTACAGTGACCCATACACACCTATGTTTACAGCAGCACAGCTCACAACACATAACGCTTGGAAGTGGCCTACATGACCACCACCTGAGGAATATGTTTAAAAAATGTGGCATTTATGCACCACGAAGTATCACTCTGCTACAAAGAACGATAAATTTGAATCATTTGTCGGAAATGGATAGAACTTGAAAGCAAATATTAAGTGAAATAAATTAAACATACATTCTTAAATATTAGATGGTTTTTCTTATTAGACAAACTCAAAATCTATATAAATTAAAGAGTAAAGTAAAAGACAGATAATAGGAAACAGAGACAGATCTCTTGCAAATGAGAAGAGGATCAAGAGATGAAAGGGAGGGGACAGAGAAATAAAGATAATGAAGATATGTTATGCATGTATATCAAACCCCCACGATGAATTAATTGCATTGCAAGCTTGTATTATTACAAATGTTTAGAAAAATAAAATAAAACACTGTGGGTTCTCCAAAAGAAAGAAAATGTCAACAATATTCAAAATGTGACATAAGATAGAAATAGTGAGTCATCTACTAACACCTATTCCTTTACCCCGAAGCCCAGTTGTTAAGTTATTTATATTCATAGTCTTTGATATCTGTGTAGACTGTCCACATTCCCTCATCTCTGCTTTTCCTCACTCTGGTTCAGGATTCCATCACCTTTTACAACAGCTATTGCCAAGTAACCTGACTTCCAGTGGACACCCTTCCTCCTCCTCCCCACGACAGAAATCTCTACCACAAATAATATTTTAACTTATTTCAAAGGCAAGACTTCCTTAATTTGCATTATTTTGAGTCCTAACTTAAAAATAAAAAGTTGTCTTAAGAAAGTTAACTGAGGGGCTGGGGATTTAGCTCAATGGCATAAGCACCAGCCTTGCAAGCAGGCGGTCATGAGTTCGATCCCCGGTACCGATAAAAAAAAAAACCAAAAAACAAAAAAGAAGAAAGTTAATTGAATTATCTTTCTATTTATTCAGCCCATTTAGCTCACATATGTATATTCTCTGTGTACTCCATGACACCTTTGTGCATTGTTCCTCTTTTGTTTCTTCTCTCTTAGAAAAACCCCAGTATTTAGTAAAATGTTGGAATTAGTAGTTATTGATTCTAATCATATGCATTAATTTCTAATGCAAAAATATTACAGATATAAGCATGAATTACAGATATAAGTATGAAAACATGATCAACTGAAAAATAAAAGCACAAATTGTTCTTTTTGATGAACTCACGGAGATTAGTAGTATAGTTATCTATCTTGTGTGTGTGTAAGTATATAATCATTTCCCTTTTTTCTTTTCTCCCTTCCTTGTCCCAATTATTCTTTGATTTTGAGCAGTTTCTTTCCCTTTCACTTTCACAATATGCATTGTATATTTTGGTTCTTATTCACACTTTCAGTTTTTTAAACTAGGGAGACAATACAATATTTACACATATGAGTCTGATTTATTTCAGTTATGAGTATGGTTTCAAGGTGCATCTATTTACCTAAAAAAGCCTCAAATTTATTCTTTTTTATAGCTGAGTAATACTCCATTATATAAAAATACCACATCTTTCTATCCATTCCACAGTGGATGGGCATTTATGTCGTTTCTAAGATTTAACTATTATTAATTGTGCTGCTATATATATGGGTTCACAGATATTACTGTGGCATGATACTTAAGTTTTGGTTAATAATTGTATATAGAATCTGCTAAATGAAAATAAGCCTGTGATTTTCTCAAAGATAAATTAATCAAAATATAATTAGATACCAATACATAATTAAACACAGAAAACGATTCCATTTTTTTTTAACACATAACACCTTTAGCTATAGAGTGTATAGCACTCACAGGACCATTTGGGAAGTATTATACAATTGCAACAAACTACTTAAGGATGTTCTAATCGTTTTTTAAAGGTCTGTTTGACTTCCCTTTTACTGATTTCTGAAGGATCTTATAGACCTTTAATCCATCACCGTTATATTTTATGGACAACCATGTCAAAAACTCTGCACACAGAAAATATTCCATTAACATTTTTAGGAAGAAATCTTTATTTAATTTTGAAATTAATATTAAAATAAGCTTATAGCCAATACATCCAGTAAGCTCCTTTAATAATATTAACCTGAAACTTCTTAATGAAAGCAGTAAGAAATGTAATGCTTTCATTATGAAGTTAGCCATTCTCCAAATATTGTTTGATTTTAAATTTTCAGCAGAATTCAAAGCATAAATGTTTAAAAAATCAACATGGATTACTGATTGCATTCCTTTCCACTCTTCTCTAAATATCTAAGGAGTTTAGAGAGGATAAATTCAAAGAGAAACTGCATCTTATTTGATTTTGTGCTCATGGAAATGAAGATTCACTTAATGAATTTATGACTGACCCGACAAATTATCAAAAGTTAAGAAATTTTAGAATAATTCAATGATAAATATTTAAAGTTCACTCAATGCATTTATATTTAGTTTGTATTTCTGTTTAATTTCTATTTTACCCACCGAATCAGTAAGACGTTTTAAAAGTTTCCTTGCTTTCTTTAACTAGTCTCATTTTGTGCAAACATACAGAAAGGGAAATCCACAATATGTTCATTTCAGAGGTGGAAATTAATCCTCTTCAATATCCTATATGCTGTCTATGTAAGTAAATACAATTTCGTCATCAAAAAGAAAGCTTTTTTAAAATGATTATCAGTCATTTCAAAGTTTTAAGGTGATTTTAAAAAAAAAAAAATTGTTCTCCAGAAAAGAAGAGAGAAAGTAAACTTTTTACAGTTTTTCAGCCTAATATATGCGATTTATTTATAGCATCCTACAATTTTAAGGACAGAATATGTTACTCAGTCTTTAGAATAAACCAATTCCAACTTTTTACTAACCACATACAGTCAAATAATACGGAACATACGAAGACACATAATTATCACAATTAAATATAAATACTTTAAAAAGTTGTAAAATACAAATATTTTACCTCTTGAAATTACGGTTTCTAAACCAGTGCCATTAATAAAAGCCCTTTTGATGGTTTGTGTTTTAATATCTGTCCAGTACAAACGTTCCTCGGAAGCATCAAAGTCTATCACGGTAACATCATCAATATCAGGGACTGTAAAGGCCGTAATAAAGTTAAAATATGGATTGTCAATATCCACTCCTCTGATTTCAGAACGTCTTGCATAAAGAAGAAATTTTTTCATTTCTAGAAAAAGAATAGAAATTAGGGGTTTTTTCTCTTATATTGTCAAATTTGAAACTGTTTAGAATTTCTAAAATGAAACTTTTAATAATTGAAAATATTGTAATACTTTAAAATAATAACCATATTTGATGAAAAATATTACATAATGATTTATCTATTTTAAATTAGAGCTTTTAATAGGAGCAAATGTAAAACAAGCCGATTACCATTCAGTCAACATTTTCTGTTAGCCAAGAAATTCTCAGTAGTTTACTTGATCTTGGAATTTCAAACATATAAAAAACATAAATGCTACAAACATTGCTAAAAATCATAAATGCTACAGATGTTCAAAAATCATATTTGTTTTCACATATACTGTAATTTTAACAGTATAGCCTCACATTAAATTATTTTTGAAGGGATCTAATAGTATTTTTCTAGTACTATTCTTGTAAAATAAAATAAATCATCCCTTTAAAATTGTTTTTTGTTTCTTGTTTACCCCATCAAAACCAGGACTGAGCTTATATAATTTACTTTCTCTAAGTTATTGTTATTTTTTGAGGCATATTATTACTGTCTAGAATTAAAACCATGTATTTATAATTAAAGTCTCAAGATAATTTCTGGTGAATAAGTTTCATTTTTGTACTTAAATTAAGTAAACAATTTAGAAATAAAATTTATCAATTAAAAGGTACTATCTGGCCATAGTTATAGCTCAGTGGCACAGCATCATGTGTTCAATACCTGGTACCAAAAAAATATGAATAAATAAAAAGGTAATGTCTGGTTTTCATTCGTAAATATCATTAGCCTTTAGTAGAAACATTTTTACAAGTCTTCCAAATTATATATCTAACTACAGTTTCCCCCTCCAGGTTGATAATTGCCTACATAATGATGTTAGAGTAGGAGCAGGAGAACAGAGCTGAAGCTGTTAAGTACCTCTTTGTTATGCAGGTACCTAAATCAACATTTTCTGATAATGCACTTCCACTTAAAAATCTCCCTGCTTTGCAGAGATAAATTCTGCTAAAGCACCAAATAAGACAGTAGCAAGAAAAACAGTAGTACAATACTGAATAGCAAAGTACAGCACATTACTTGTTGGAAAAATGTGTCAGTCCCTCAAGAAGTAGACGAATTGTCAATAACGGCTTGAAATATCAGTACCTAAAATGTATTTATAGATGTTAAACCCACTTCTCCTTTACTTGAGTAACATCTAATACGATTTGAGAGAATTCATTAGAACAGTCAGAAATGTACCATAGCAGGTCCTCTTGTCGGAGGAAAGCTTCATCAGGTGGGGGCAGGCGCAGGCGGCGCTCCGGTTGTGATTGATCAGGCACAGGTGCGAGCAGGGGCCTCTGCCAGCATTGGCTGCACAAGGGTTGGGGGCTGCAAGACACAGGGAAATGTGGAGAGTGATGAAGGATGGATGGACGAAGGAAACTCTGGCAGGCGGGGGCTATCTTGTCAGTGATTCAAGTAGTTTTCAACATTTCTGCTTTATTAGGGTGACTTATATGACAGTAATAAACAATCATACACGGTCGTTACATTACTAAAAAGCTTTTGCTCAAAGACAACAACTAAGGTAACTCCCTGATTTTCCTCTAAGATGAATAGTGTGCAGCCTAGTTTTAGTGGAACTATAGTTCTTAAGGATTCAGAGAAATAAACAGAACTAATTACTGAATGTAGTAACCAGAAATTCAGGAAACCATCACCTCGCTCTTCTAAATATAGACTCCTCTCCTGCCTTAGCACACCAATGTTACAATTTTCCCTAGGAAATTGTTTTTACCCACGTAATCTTTCTTCAGGCCAATTATACTGTTACAGGCTGCTGAGTTAGTTAGAAATATTACAGGCGGTGGGACAGAGCTACGCTCTCAAAGGAGCCAGTGCAGAAGACCAGATATCTTGTAACTTCGGAGGAGACAGACATCTCGTATTGTATTGTGGGCCGTATCTCCAGACAAAAGACAAAACAAATGCAACCACAGCCTAAGGATAAACCTCAAGAATTGATATTCTTAATAGTTATGGCTCACTTTGAGGAAGCCAGGAGTCACCACCCCAATCTTCTACAGGAAGAGTCACTGTTAAGGATGCCCACTTACTACTTGACTGGCTTCCTCATTTGTTCCCATTTAATCTATTTTACCTGAACAATTAACCTTATTGGTTGACCCTACCTCATGCCCACCTGCCTTACAGGTTCCCATTTCCCCATCTTGGATTTATCTCATCTCATGGTTTTGTTCTATAGAAGTCCCCAGGAAGGGCTGGGAATTTAGCTCAGTGGCATATGTGCTTGCCTTGCAAGTGTGTGGTAGTGAGTTTGATCCCTGGTACCCATAAAAAAAAAAAAAAAAAAAAAAAAAAAAAAAAAAAAGAAGTCCCTAGGAAAGGTAGAGTCTTTGGCAACCCACTTAGGACCTCTTTTGTCTCTCTTCCAGACAGAAGCTTTCTTTCTCTTAATAAATATTTCTGTTTTTAACCTCTGTTGTTCCTAAAATTCACTCTTCGATTTTACAGAACACAAACTTGTACCTGACATTTAGTAGGTTGGGAGTTTTATTCCTCTATGTCAATATTGAAGAAATATTTGTCTTCCTGCATTATTAAGTCATCACTTTTTAAGTTTTTTTTCTATATCAACTAATTCCCTGGCTAAAGTTTGTACCAAATACACATACTTAAATATTCATTTGTATGAATAAATAACTGATATTTTTAAATTTGGAAAATAATATTACATTTTGCATGTTTTCATCTTATGTCTTCTGGATATTATTTTAATTTTAATTGATGAATACTGCCATCATTGATTTTATGTATTGTACAATCTACCTAGCAGAACTTTTTTTTTTTTTTTTTTTTTTTTTTCTGGTGGGAACCAAACTCAGCATCTTGTGCTTGCCAGGCAGGTGCTGTGCCACTGAGCTATGTATCCAGCCCTAGAACCACCTAGTAGAATAAGATTATCAAACCAGGCTACTGACTTGAGGGCAAGAAAGAATTAAATTTTCTGACCCACAAACAATATTTTAGCTTTCAATTAATGAATGTTATCTTTCTAAAAAACTAGACCTATTGCTCTCGATAATACTTGGTTTAGAACATATCTCAAACCATGTGACCTTGATATAATGAAAAGTGACATATGTAAATTGTTCTCTAACCTCTCCAGTCTTCTTTTCTGAAGCAAGTCACAAAATCTAGAAGGGATTTTCTGACCTTTCCCTGAAGCAGTCTTCCATGTCAGAGGTGCCCTCCCAACACCAGGAGGAAAGCAGAACCCTTTCTGAAGAGGAAAGCCCATAAAGAATCTGGACAAATGCCCTTGTTAAGTCTTGCCTGGTTTATTAACATTACATCTAACCCCTTTGTTCTACAATATTTATATAAAACTGTTCACTTTTCATCAGATCTACTACAAAAATACCCAGGAATTTTGAGTTTTCTTTTCCTTATTAAGTTCCCTTATTTAACAAAAAATTTGTAGTAAGTATATAGATTTCTTTGTTAATCTATGTATTGCTATGGTGTTCTCAGTCATTAATCTAGAGTAGAGAATTAACCTTTTCTCATCTACCACAGTTGATATTAGTGTTGTGAGGGTTTGAAACACAAATAAATTTAAATCAAATAAATATAACTGTATAATATTCATGGTAGATTCGGCAACTTCATACATACCACATCCAGAGGATAAAAGTGATATACGGGACCGGGGTTGTACTTCAGTGGCACAAGTGCCTGCCTGGCAAGTGCAAGGTCCCGAGTTACAAACTCAGTACCCAAAAACAACAACAACAAAAAGTAATATATTTGCATTTATGAAAAATAAATAAAAGGAAATGGAAGCCACTGAAACAAACCATTCTCTTAAAAAAAGTACATTAAGAGTAAAAACTGTTCAAAAAGAAGTAAAAATTAGTGGAATGCCTTAGTGCAAGTTCTTCTTTCACAAAGCATGAGTACTCTACATTCTGCTCTAACTAACTGACTCTATCCGTAATAACTGGAGTGCCTAAGGAATAGCATTGTCAAGAAGAAAGCGAGACAGTATTAAAGTTCTGTTTAATACTAGATCGGTTTCAAAGAAAATGTTAGCTGGAAATTGAAACTTCAAAATTTGCCACCCTTAAATAAAAGAATGAAGAAAAAATACTAAATAGAAAACCGAATAAATGAGAAAAGAAAGAAGAAGGAGAAGTTTACTTGAAAAAAAATGGCGTAGGAAATGATTCTTTTTAGGGAAATTAAAAGAAACTCATGGCAGTCCAATGGAGGGTTCTCGTATTTCACTTGGTGCAGCATTATTTTTAGTCCAGAATCATACTAGCTTTCCTTAGCATCCTATAATTATGATGAAATACTTCTTTAAAATAAAGAATATTAATCTCTATATACATAAAAGAAGCATACTGACTTTGTAGAAGTGTCTGTATTATGGATAACACCGTTATATATAATCCACAACATTTTGTGCTTTGCAGATTGGAAAATCCACAAAGAACTTTTATTTTATACTTTAGTGTCTTACTATAAAATAATATTGTTAAATATTTTAAAAATTCCTTTCTAATCATTCATTTATCAGTTGTTTATTCTTATTAAATTAAGGAATTTGGTTCATAATATTCACTAATAAGTATCTCTTTTGTATTTTTTACCATTTGTCTTTTTCAACAAAAGGCTACAGCCTTACATCTTGGTTCTATAGTATTTACCTAAGTAAAACATTCTCTCTAAGTTGTTAACCCATTTTCCAGCATTATCTACCACTCTTTTTCCAGATATGTATCATGTACATGCTAAAATAGACTATTCATTTATATCTGAGTATAGATAGCTTTTCTTTTTCACCTACAACTGACATGCTTTTCTTCTAGAATTCCACCAACATATTTGTATATATATTACAAGTCACTATGATCCAGCTCACATCATTTTCTGCCTGAAACATTTTCTAATAAGGCCAAAGTTGTTGATTTCTTCCCACAGCTAAATAGTAGTTTTAACTATTGACACTACAAACTGTTAAATAATGTATTCTTTATTACACTATTTTCTAGGCATTTACTTTATTTATTTGTTTTTGATTCTGGGCTTGAAGCTCATGCATACTAAGCAAATGCTCTACCACTGAGCTGAGCCCTCAGCCTATGCTGTTTTCCATTTTGTGATATATAATTCTATGTTTATATCAGTCAATGCTGATCTCTCTAGCTAAACCCAGTGATTGGCCAGGCTTTTTCTGACAAGGCTAGAAGTAAATACTTTCACACTTGAAGGCTTTATATATTCAATAATTATTTGTCACTCTGCTTCCTTAACAAAAATGCAACAGGTAAATGAACAGGTGCATGGTGTTCAAGTAAATTACAAAATTGAGAGAGGGCTGAATTTAGGCTGATGGCTGCAGATTATTATTTGTATCTAGAAGTACTAGGCTACAAAACTATGACTTACATATGTGCACATTATTTTTTCTTAAATTTTCTATGGAATAGATTATTGTGTTAGTCTTAATGATTTTTTGATTAACATCCACTCAAATATATGTCTGTATGTACATTAAATGGCAGTAATCTAAAAAATTGAAAAGTGAATTAATCTAATGCACAAAATGGGAGCAAGAGAAAAGATGCAATAATGTATAAGTACAATATTTTTAGAGAAGAACCAAACGTTAATTGTGCAATCATATGAGACTGATGCATATTATGTGAAGAAAACAGTGCTATTAAAGATAATTTCATACAAACAATATTTAATGAATATCCATTTCTCACCAGAAAAATTAAACATTCTTAATCCAAACAATTATTTTACTCAGTAAATACTAATAAAACATACATAATGTGATTCAATATAAAATACAATTGATATTTAATTATTCAAAAATTCTATGTTCAACAGAAGTATGGCAGGATCTAATTTGTTAAGTGAAAGGAATATTTTTCTCTATCTAACCTAGTCATTTTTGATAGTAAACAATATTTTTTCTATCAATGAACATTACTGCTACAAAGACACAATGAAGTAATTTATTATACTGCTAATTTTCCTTTAGAAAAGATTTCTTTCTTTCTTTCTTTCTTTCTTTCTTTCTTTCTTTCTTTCTTTCTCTCTTCCTTCCTTCCTTCCTTATTTCTTTCTTTCTCTCTTCCTTCCTTCCTTCCTTCCTTCCTTCCTTCCTTCCTTCCTTCCTTCCTTCCTCCCTTCCTTCCTTTTTTGTGCTGTGCATCAAACTCACAACCTCACACTTGCCAGGCAGGTGCTGGTCAATATCCCTAGTCTGAATTTCATATTCTGAAAAAACTTTTAGAAGCATTTTGCACTAAAAACTAACCTTAATTTCATTTGACAAATATTGTTAG